TATTATAGGGCGGCGAACTCCAACGTGGCAGCTGATCACAATCCCTTGAGATTTCGCCAGCCTCGTTTTTTTCACGCTACTTTTTGAAGATATTGTAGGCATGTAACATATTTATCCAATTATTGCCTCCTACATGGGACTACAAATAGAAATACAGGAAACTTTTTTTTTGGTTCTTCGTTTATTTTGATTGAACACATCATGACCAAAATTTACTTTCCATTAAAGAAGCTGCGTTGTGTCTTCCAATTCAAAAAGGCTTTATGCTGTATTTGCTTTGTACTTAACGAAAATTTTCACTGACAAGTCAAATAAAAATCAGAATTTTATAACTAAGCATCTGAAAGAGAAGTTTTCATGCCTCAAAAGACGAAAATTGAATATAAAAACATCTCCACCTTCCTTATGTCATGTGCTATAATAAGGGATGCCTCAAACGAAAACTTGATGCCAAACTTATTTGCAAAATAGGAACTTTTAGGACAAGTTAACGCTAACTATTCTATGAAAAAAAATAAAAGATTCGACTACAAAGCAGGAGCTCTGCTGGAATATTGGAGAACAATACAGTAGAGTGTCAGAGACGCTTAAAAGCAAAGACGACGAAGAATTAGAAATTACATTAAAAATAAACGCATTAAATCTGTATTTCTCATGCGTAAATGCATGATTAAATGAAGGATAATAATGCTTGGATTACTCTCGTTTCATCAAGACCGTGTCGTTTCAATCTTGAAATGGCATCTTAATCTTCAATAATTGTTATTTGCTGAAACTTATTAAAATTTTTAATTATATTTTTAATGGAATTCGCAGACTTAATTAAAATGTTTCAGGTATTGAACTTATAGTTGCTTAAGATAAAACAATTTTCTCTGCCAAATGGATGTTGCGCAGACTATATATGGTTCATCCCGAAAGTTGATTAGTGAACAGAAGAAAAATGCTTTTTCAATTTCACTTTATTTTACCGTTCATACATAAGGATTGTTTATATAATTCATAACAACTTGAAACACCTAATTTTAAAACTTATGAAATACAAACAAGATCTTTGAGTTTAGTTATAGCAATTCTAATAAAGGCAGTGAAACTAATTCGATCTCTAAATATAAAAACAAATTTGCACATTTTTTATGTTATTCTAAGTTTCTAATGAATAAGATCGTTATTAGGGGCAATATTGATTTGAAATATAAAAAGTGATTTGATTAAATTCATATTATCACCCGTGATCTACAGACCATTATTACAGTAACGGTTGGATGATCGCCATTTCATTAGCTCCGATTTAATAGTCACGAAATAATGCCACCTGATTAAATTTACCCAGAAATTTAAAACTTGTAATTAAAGACACTGATTTTTATGCTTTCTTTGCTAAATTGAGAATTCAAATGAGGTTATAAATTCCACGACGTTTGTATTCTAGAATTACGAACAACAATGTTGGGCGATTGGCGATGGAAAGGGACATTTGCATGTACAATTATTTAATGCATATTTTAATTAAGCCTAAACTGAAAACTGCACTTCTGCCTAACTGATACGAATGAAGCCCGTAGCTTGATATATAAGGTCTTCACTATTTATATTTTTGTATATTTTGATAAATTAAATTCAACAAATAATTTTAATTTGTAACTATACCATGCGTACATCAATGAAATGCATCGCCCCGTGAACTTCAAACTAAAATCATACTGTGAATGATGCCAATAAAACATGGACAGATAAATATTCGAACATGACCAAATATATGAGTTAGGAAAAAGCTGTAAAGTACATGAATAACACTGCATACGACGTTATAGCTCAGTGACTGCCATGAACAATATTGCTCCGAAATTTATTGTGAATTAAGTGAGATTCACAAAAAAAATCGATCTGCAGTTTGCCTCTAATTATCTTCGCGTTTAACCAAAAATATATAATGGGAGTATTCTCACTTATTGCTTGATCGAACAATACGCTATTTATGAAACAAAAATGACCTGTAATATATGAGTACTCCAGGCATTCGCTGTGATATGATTGAGTGATGAAAATAAATTGAGCGTGAAAGTTTAAATTTTACTAAATAGCAAGCCATAGCTATTATTATATTATGGATGAATAAATGAATTTCCCTCATTCAAATATCATCCGATATATGAGAAGATTATTATTACATAAAAGTCATTTATGCCATTTTTATAGAACAGCAATTTAACGAATGGGCATTATTGTTAGCATTCTATCAATACGTGCATGTAAAATTGGACTGTGGCAGCTGCAGTTTTGTATTGTTAAGTTTCGTACAATCTAAACTTTTGTATCTAAATTCAAAAATAATGAGATGTTGGTAGCGTCAGGGGAAAATGTAAACTCGTTACATATGAAAAAAATTGCTCGTAAGGTTGATAACAATCTGATTAATTGGAGAAAAAATACAGTATGGAATATCCCTTAGTATACGAGTAGAGGTTTTCTCAAGCATATAACATCCACGGGAAACAAAACCTTGGTATTATTCAATAAAAAGTTGGCATTACTTGGCACAGCGAAACACGCTTCAATATGCTATCCATATTATCATAACTTATATTGAATCTACATAGAGTGCAGTAACCATTAAATTAAGTAATTTGAATTTAAGTGCATCTAATTCTTCTTCATTGTCTCCTTGCCCAACTGACGACGTGTCTCCAAGTAAGAATATATTCTAAAAAATTAACATCGTAAATGAATGCAAATTATATGCAATGCTAACCTGCAATAGACGCAAAGTCAGTGAATGTACAACGATCGAGCGTCTATAGCAGGTATTTGGATAGAAGTCCACCTAATGACCCGACCCCTCAGCAAATCAAGACGATGACTCCAAGTGAGACCAAAACTGACGCCGTGATAAAGATAAGCAGCCTTTTCCTCCGGCAGTAAGTGGCGTTGCCTGTCGCGCTGCCATGCGATGTCAGTAAATGGTCCTCCAAGATCAACTCAGACGAAGTCTTCCACTCCATCTCCAGCAGCTGCACTCGGCACTCTAGTAGCAGGTGACCGTTGGTGAAGAGCTGCCGGAAAGCCTTAAATGAGACGGCTCGAGACACGAGCACTCGGTTGTTGCTGCGAGTCTGCGTCGGTTGAGTCATGAATTCGTTCACGACCTGATGAGAAAATTAGGGTTCGGTACAAGCAGGAGCCGGTATGAAAAATCGGAAATTTTGCGGTATGAAAAACAATCATATCCGGTCTCATAAACAAGCGTTTATGAGACCGGATGATTACATGGAAGCTTGAATTTTTTGGTAGGGTGTTTAGTGAATTGACATAAGATACAGATACAATTTCTAATTCTTAGAATACTATCATTTGATGAATTGAATATTGAATTAGTCGGGCAGTATAAGGAATATCATAAGACTGAAACAAAGGTTACAAAAAGCAGTCGAAATGCGTTTGCAAGCTAAAATAAAAGTCTCCTCAAAAACTTGGTCTAGATAAATAATCGCTACAAATTTGTTCACTTCTTAGGTGCAAATGATTAAGAATTTAAATTTCCACTGCGATGTGTTCACAATAAATTATGTCCTCTATACTATACTATAACCCACTGTAACCCACAAGCCACACCACACTCCGTGCACTGTAACCCACCGGCAAAACCACACTCCGTGCACTATAACCCACCGGCAAAACCACACTCCGTGCTCTATAACCTACCGGCCACACCACACTCCGTGCACTATAACCCACCGGCCACACCACACTCCGTGCTCTATAACCCACCGGCCACACCACACTCCGTGCACCATAACCCACCGGTCTATTGTTTATGAAGAACTTTATCGATGGCGCAGGCAAGGCGGGAGCGGAGTGACAGGTCGCCTTCACCATTTGGCCCTCCTTGACTCGGCCTGACGCTCCGGTCATCAGAGGAGCAATCGTCGGGGGCACTAAAGTGGTAAGAAGTTAACATCTTGATAATAATTATTCATTCATTATTCATGGTTTTTTATTGTCGATATTTATCCCATCTTTTAGAAGTAGAAAGTTAGAGATTTTACTGTTGAAAATTTCCCAAATTAAAATTTATTTGTTTTAAACGCCACTTGGCGAAGAGGTACACCCAATCTAAGGACTTTACTTCTTCTCAGGTCTGTCCTTGAATTGCATGCTGCAGTGAGCCATGCTTTTTAGCAACTATATATAGAATTAATAAGTCTATTAAATAAATAGGATTTGCTTAAGTAAAATGAGGTGCTCTTAAATTTTTTCCCTAATCTGCAAACATTGAACACATGTTTGAACGCCATGAAAAATGCAAGTTCTGCATTCAATTTGTCGTGAAATCATGAATGTTGTTACGGACTAAAAAAATACATTTTCTCGATGAATAAAAATGAATTTAAATGCTCAATAAAGACAATGCGGGTATTATTGCTCGCATTTGCAATCTGGTCATTTTAAAACTGGACATTTTGAAAATCTTGATAAAAAAAATGAACCGTGAAAAATAAAAAAGGAATTTAGCTCCAAAAATCTAATTTTTCAGCATAAAATTTCATTTTTCAATAGCATAATGGGCAATTGGAAAAAAATTGCTCAATGCTGTGCTAAAATTTGCGTTCAATCGGTCTGAGTGCATGCATTTCTGCTTAGATTTCAAAAACCCAAGTTCATGCATTTTAATGGACCCGATTGATTTTCGTAAACATAAAAATTAACATTGATATCTATCCTCCTCAAGATCAGTTGAAATAATGATCTTCGAATCAGTTCAGTTGGTCTAAACTAATCATGGGATCAACTGATCCGGGACCAGTTGAATAACAGATCCTAACCTAACCACTCTAAAAACAATAATAACTCAGTACTCACTGCAGTGAGCGACAGAGAGCGCATTTTCTCGTCGACGAAAACGTGAAGTCACGGACAGACAGACAGACGGACGGACGGACGGACATGGCGAGCACAATAGCGCATTTTTTTCCTAAATGAGAAAATGCGCTAAAAATAACCTACGTACCCACGACCATGAGGTTGAAGGAAGCCGTGCCGCTATGTCGTATGATGCTGTCGGGGGTGACGACGCACGAGTAGTTGCCTATTGCCTCAGGCCGCACCAGTGACAGGACGAGCTCCCGCGCCTGCTCCCGACGCAGGCTGTCTTTGGTGCCTCCCTAGTGGTAGAAATTTACATTGTTTACATGATATTTTGTAGAATTATGCACGGGCATGCAAAGAAATAATTAGCCGTATTCAAATAATAAAGGCCTCAGGCCGCACCAACGACAAGACGAGCTCCCGCGCCTGCTCCCGGCGCAGGCTGTCTTTGGTGCCTCCCTAGTGGAAGTAATTTACATTGTTTACATGATATTTTGTAGAATTATGCACGGACATGCAGAGAAATAATTTCAATAGATCGAGGTAGTTGTTTTCAAATATAGTGTGCCTGATCTTTGCTCAGGCTGTCTTTGGTGCCTCCCTAGTGAAAGAAATTAACATTGTTTACATGATATTTTGTAAAATTATGCACGTGCATGCAGAGGAATTATAATCAATTGATCGAGGTAGTTATTTTCAATTGTAATATGCCTTCTCCTTGCTTAGGCTGTCTTTGGTGCCTCCCTAGTGGCAGAAATTTACATTGTTTTCATGGTATTTTATTTAATTATGCACGGGCATGAGGAGAAATTATAATCAATTGATCGAGAAAGTTGTTTTCAAATATAATATGCCTCCACCTTGCGCAGGCTGTCTTTGGTGCCTCCCTATTAGAAGAAATTTACATTGTTTACATGATATTTTGAAAAATTATGCACGGGCATGCAGAGAAATTATTCTTAATAGATCGAGGTAGTCGTATTCAAATTTTATAAGCCTGCTTCCTGAGCTAGCTGTCTCTGGCGTCCCCTAGTGAGAGAAATAAAACATAGCGCTTATAATATCTTGTAGAATTTTTTTATTTAATGAAATATTTTTTTGATAGATTGAGGTATTTTCATTAAAATATTATAGGTTTGAAAGATTTTAAACTAATTTATAAATACTGTCTCTAATACAAAATGTATTTTGATGTTTCTAAAATATCTAGTAGAGGTACGTACGTGCGCGGGCATGAAAAAAAAATATTTTTTAATCGTATTCAAGTATTAAATGTATGAATTGTTAAAAATTAATGTGAATTGATACGCACTAGTTTTTTTATCTCTAGTAAAATCTATATAACTGAGAAATTTCACATATGCTTGACATACTTAATTATGAAAATTTGAGGAATCATTAATTTCCTCTTTTGATCGAATGATAGAAATGTCTGTTTTTTAGCACATTTTCTCATTTATGGAAAAAATGCACTATTGTGCTCGCCATGTCCGTCCGTCTGTCTGTCTGTCCGTCCGTCCGTGACATTACGTTTTCGTCGACGAGAAAATGCGCTCTCTGTCACTCACTGCAGTGAGTACTGAGTTATATTTTTCCCGATAATTAATGTATTGCAACAGTAAAGTGAAGTTGATATTTGAAAGGAATTTTAATTATTTTAGTGTTGTTCACAGTTATTGTTCGTAATGAAGTCTTTGAATCAGCGTTCGGAGCGCATCCTCAAACTATTAAATTTTAGCTATCGTACTTTCCAGTCGACCTTTAGAATAAAAGGAAGAAAATGTGAAATTACTAAATATCCATTTCTAGCATTCATATACAATGCGAAGATTCAGCAAAGAGTTTTGTTTTTAAAGAGTTCAAAATAATTAATATTCAATAAATATGTGATAAAAATTCTACCTCCGTGATCCAAATTTGCTCTCACGGATACGATGGTATATCAGAAAAAATCAATTAATAAAATTAAAGAAATTGGGGTAAATTTGAGCTTGAAATAGAGATTCGGAACGATGACTGGATTCAAGGCGCCGAAATTTGAGATAAAAGGATTTTCAAATTATAGGGATTTTTTGGCCAAGCACTGACGTGTTACCTGCTATTACAGAATACCATGCGACCCGAGCAGCAGAGCCCAAAATTAAAATTGGCGGGTTAGAATTTTACATTTTAGATATGATTGTAAACCCAGCATTAAAAACTGGAAATGCGATTCCAAAAGATGCACATCGCTCTAGAATAATTTTATGCTGCAATAAAACCGCGGACTGCGTCTTTTATGTCTCAGTTTAGATGATTTAAAATTTCGTGTCACCTAATCTGTCATAGCAAGTTAGATGGCGACTAGCATTGGACAAAACGAAAGTCTACGGATTTAATTCATCAACTTTCATGACGTCATTCACCGCTGTTTTCCCCTTAAAATTACGAGCTGCTCTGATTTTTAAATTCCCAATCCAAGTTTTTTTTAAACTATTTATTCAGCCAATAATTTAATTAAATTATTTATTTAAATTTATCGTTCGTACAATAGATAGAAAGCCTTGATTAAGCCCGCCGATTCTGCGAGTATTAAAATGTTGAAAAATCCTAGCTTAGCAGAGAGTTTATAGTTGCTGGTTTTATATCACTAGTTATTGTTTTAAAAATTTCAGTCCTAACACCGTATTAAATTCTCGATACTTGAGAGAATTTTATATATATTATGATTAGAATTTTTTTTATTATATTAATTATAATTTTTGTAGCCACAAGATTTGAGAATTTAGCGGACAATCTCTCGTCGTATCTGACCCAAAACATCTTACTAATGGATTGCAGTCTGAACTACTCCACTCTAGCTGCCTCAATTTTTCAAAGCAATTTATATACCTTGGCATACATGTAAATGGACGGTTGACATACTTAAATAAGTTTGATTCAACCTTAGCCACATGGCCTAAAGTTTATGTTGGAAATTTGGAACAGCTTCCCAATCTCTGTTTAGTGGTTCCATTTGTGCTGTATTCTCATCGGTTCTTTTTAGCGCATTTTCTCATTTATAGAAAAAATGCACGATTGTGCTCGCCATGTCCGTCTGTCTGTCTGTCTGTCTGTCTGTTCGTCCGTCCGTCCGTGACCTCTAGTTTTCGTCGACGAGAAAATGAGCTCTCTGTCACTCACTGCAGTGAGTACTGAGTTATATTTTTTATAAACGTATCTCAAATAAATTCTTCATTTAATTATTCGTAAGATAATCGAGGTCTTAACCCGTATTTATAATTTAATTAGGTATTGATGAATTACGACGTCTCTCTGTAAATTTATTATAATTTTAATTTCATACGAACAACTGCGAGTTAATCAGGTCATCAGAAAACGCGCGTCTAGACTGTCACCGCAGAGTAACAAGTATGAAAATTAAACTGGGACGATACTGCTAATAAGTTTTTAGCTAGGAATATACGAAGAACAACATTAAAATGATTAGTTTAAAAGCTAAGGTATCAGAGTATGAGCAATTTTTCAGATTAAATTATGCGGGCCCGCGCTCGAGTTAAACGTGGGGCCTTAATTATCAAATTTTATCATAATTATTAAAAAAATGATCAAATTTATTAAAAAATCATCAAACTTTATTATTATCAAAAAATAATAGTAAAAATATATTAAGGAAATTAAATAAAAATTATCAAACTATCAAAAAATTTATTATCAAACTAATTAAAAATGATCAGACTAACATAATTTCGTTGAAATCTGATATGAAAAGGGATCACGGATATATTTTACACGGATCGGTTAGTATGGTCGAGGACTACGTAAATAAAGAATGTGTAGTATCATCAAGTGGCAACTAAATCTGATAATAGAAGAAGAGCTCTTTCTTGTCTCGTCAGCTTACAATTTAATTGAGTTGAAATTTAGATTAATGGTTCTAAGAAGCTCATCATAGTTTAAAAAAATACAATTGATTTATTAAGCATTGCAACGGAAAAAAACAGCCCTAGCAGTTGGTAAATTAATTGAATTGGGCAAGCCAAAATCAGGTAATGCCACTTAATAGTTCGAAAGTAGAATTTCTGGAGCTTTGACTCCTTTATTGATAGTAGTCTTAAATGGCATTGCGAAGAGAACGATGTACTTTAAAATCATTAGAATAATTGTTCTATCACTTGTGCGAATCCTGCTACCATGCCCTGCAAATCCAATAATCCTTCGTTGGGTTTGCGTGAGTGAAATCCAAAATTCCTGTAATGAATATGGCGGCATAAAACTAATCTGAATCTTTTTCAAAAAATATTCGTAGCAATCAATATGAAAGCGATACAATAATAAAAAATCCACAAAAAAAGAAGCGTGAATACGAACTCAAAACAATTTAATATTGCAAGCACTAATTAAGGAAATAAGGCGATTTTTACTTTAAAATTTTGCAGTAAATCCGAGATTCTTCTAAAGCTTGTGATAGCAATGCTGGGAGATTTAACTGTCTCATGTTGTAGCCGATAAATATACTATAATATTTTTATTTGTGAATGAAAATATTATGCTAATGGACCGTCAAAAATGAAATCTGATCACAATAGGCTTCTCATAATAAAAAAAAATTCAGATACATTATTAATAAAACGTATAGTTGGGCACCATATTCCTCGTTATTTTCCAAGCGTACCATCAAATGATACAAATAAAATAGTAGTCCAAAATCATGCAATTTCCAGTTCAAAATGTCGTCGTCGTTACTGAGGAAATTCATTCAATGACAAATTCTTAATTAATTCAACCAATGCTTATCGTATATATTTCATTACCACAACATTGAACTCAAGAATCTACATTACATTAAGTCTCATGAAATATTCGCAATTAATCCCAACTTTGAAAATACTGTTAATTTACGCAAATAATTAAAAATTTCATCATTGGAAGTTGTCTAAATTTTCATCCTTCACAATTTATTGAAATTTTAGTAACTTTGTCTCAGTTCAAATTCAGATCTTCTTTATAGGGACATCCCCATAAATTATTATAATTTTAGTAACTTTGTCTCGGTTCAAATTCAGAGCTTCTTTATATGGATCATGTGAATAAGCAACCAAATGAACGGCAGCTCCGATCGCACTGTAATTATTCAAAGGATAATCGCTTTGCATGGTCACGAATAAGTTAGTTTGAAGGGCTCCTCGTTTTAATTTCTAGCTCTGTAATTTGCGACGCTAACGAGGCAATTAGCAGCATAGCGATGATAGCGATAAATCGCCGAGCTTTGTTGTTGTTTGCGTCTAAGTTTCGTCCGTATCAGCGCGCTTGATTGCCAATACCCGCAATTTCATTGCAGACTCGGGAGTTTGCCTCATTAGCGAAGCGGGTAATCGAAATGCCCACAATTTTATTGCTAACCGGGGCTGGTAATAGCGATATTTGCAATGTAACGCACACCTCGTTGCTGGTATTAGTAATCGCCGCAATATAATGCAGCACCGGGGTGCTGGTACTAGTAAAACCAGCAAAGTGATCACAGACCGAAACTGGTGTTAATCAAACTCCTTGAAATTTGTGCATTGTTTTTGCGATTTTAGGGCGTAGAAAATGGATCTAATACATGCAACACATATTCACAATTCACATATAGACCTAAAACATTGTCTCATAAATCAAATTTTTAAAGAATTTCTTCTAGAGCGAAATCAGTTAGGATATGAAAAATAGGGAGAACCCTTTTTTTAAATATTCTTTGATTTCATTCCCACGGGTGGCAATAATCTGAACCAGGATTACAAATAAAACTCGGCATGCATAATTGCAAGAGCAGAAATAAGGAACGATTTTTATGCAATAGGTTGAGGGTTCGATTATTTAACAATTAATACAATTCAGCCAGTGATGCCTTGGAAGCATCAGGCAGCTATTGTTGCGGCATTCCCAGAGCTTGGAACTGCACGAGACCGTGCAAATTGAACGAGAAATCTTGCGTAATTGCACTGGGGACCACAAAGCACCTCGGCATAGCGAGCCAATCTCAGACTGCGAGGTACTTCTGATTGCGTGAGGTGCGGCCGTTGAAACATGAGACTTGTGCTTCTGATTGCGTGAGGTGCGGCCGTTGAAACGTGAGACTTGTGCTTCTGATTGCGTGTGGTGCGGCCGTTGAAACATGGGACTTGTGCTTCTGATTGCGTGAGGTGCGGCCATTGAAACATGGGACTTGTGTTTCGGATTGCATGAGGCGTGGCCGTTGAAATATGAGTTTTGTGCTTCAGACGTCCTGAGGTGTGGAAGCGAAATAGTTAGAATTTATCGATACATTTTTTGCGAAATCATGACTAGGAGATGTCGGAAGTCGAAGCAGACTATGCGATATTTATGAACACACGACAAACCCGTATACGGGGTTGTCCGTTGAGTTGCCGTACGAATACTCTAAGACTTTGCTTATTTTTGTGTTCACTTGAAAATAATTCGCAAAAAAAGTTGGATCTCAAGAAAGTCCAATTTCAGATCAGATCATTTAGTTTCAGGTTACTTCAAATGAAAAAATCGTTTATATCGCCCACCATCCAGTATAAGACACTCCTCTATCCATCATCCTACTACATATAAAAGTCTACTTTCAGGATGCCACACCACGCCCAAAAGACTATTAGGAATATGTACTGAACAGAGGAACTATGCCTCAAAGATGAAAACTCAGGTTATAATTCATCAAATGCAATTGATTAAACGAGGGATCAGTGCCACTTAAAATGCATTATATCAGTGAAATTGCAGTCTCGGAAGAATACTAATTTTTTCAATCAAAGAATTATGTCCATATTATAGTGATTAGTTATTGCAATGAAAAGCAGAAATTTTATTATTGTAAAGCGTATTTGAGCTTTAAACTATTATTCAACGATATGAAAGGACAGTATGATGTTATGTGCTTGATGATGTGGAAGCAGGCGAAAATCATCACTGGTGTCAACAACATTTCCAAGCACTCGCGACAACATTTCAGTGTGATAAATGAAGCTCATTTGAGCTTCGTGTAGCCCATTCAAGGCCTCTAAATCATGAGAATAATTTCAGCGACTGGATTAAACAGTGCTTTGAATGAACAGAAATTCGAAGCTTGCAACGAGGAATGTAATACGGCTTCTGTTGCCTGCCGGGATTGTGTCGCTTCAGCCTCCAAAAAGTCAGTCGATCTAAGAGATGGCCGAAGTTACAAAGTATCTCGTGGAATATCCTTTGGTAAAATGCAGCCTCGAGAACAAATGGCGGATGCCAAAACTCAAGAAGTGAAACGCATTTCTTGACACAAGTTTGAATTGCAGTTGTGAGTTTGGTATTGAAGGCAAACCGTTTGGTTTTAAACGTAAAAAAATCATAGACCTGAAATCTCGTGATGGATAATAATTGTTTGCGATTGGTGTCTTTTATTTGAATCATTTACCATATTGGAGTGGCAGATTGGAAATTAAAATTTAATTTTGAACTAAAGGTCAGAACACGAAGTTATAGTTGCGTGAAATACAAATTATTCATAAATTTAGCTTTGAATATTTATTACGATTTATATTTTTAATGGAATTCGCAGACATAATTAAAATGTTTCCGGTATTGAATTTATAGTTGCAATAGAGAAATCAATTTTTTCTGTCAAATGGATCTTACGCAGACTAGATATGGTTCATCCCGAAGCTTGATTGGTGAACAGAAGAAAAATGTTTTTTCAATTTCACTTTATTTTACCGTACATACATAAGGATAGTTTATATAATTCATAACAACTTGAAACACCTAATTTTAAAACTTATGAAATACAAACAAGATTTTTGAATTTAGTTATAGAAATTCTAATAAAGGCAGTGAAACAAATTCGCTCTCTAAATATTAAAGCAAATTTGCACATTTTTGATGTTATTCTAAGTTTCTAATGAATAAGATCGTAATTAGGGACAATATTGATTTGAACTATAAAAAGGGATTTGAATAAATTCATATTATTTACATCCACTGTTTTCGGGGCACTGAATTGTGTGAGAAACCCCTAATGCAGCGAAAAATGCTTTTCCGAAATGCAATAAAAACTTTTTGTCCACACTCCATTTAATATTAAAGTTTGGTTTCAAATTTATTACTGATAAACTAATAAATATTATTGCTGAAAAATTTCCTCTTGAAATTTCTGTAAAACAATTTTAAATAATTTAATAAAATTCTTCATCCGTGATCTACAGACCAATTAACGGTTGAATAATCATCATTTCATTAGCTCCGATTTAATAGTCATGAAATGATGCCTCCTGATTAAATTTACACAGAAATTGAAAACTTGTAATTAAAGACACTTCCTTTTATGCTCTCTTTGATAAATCGAGAATTCAAATGAGGTTATTAATTCCACTACGCTTCTATTCTAGAATTACGAATAACAATGTTGGACGATTGGCGATGGAAAGGGACAATAGCATTTACAATTTAACGCATATTTCAATTAAGCTAAACTGAAAACTGCACTTCTGCTTAACTGATTTGAATGAAGCCCGTAGGTTGATTTGACTGATTAAAAAATTTGACTGATTACAAAATTTGACTGATTTGAAGCCCGTAGGTTGATTTGACTGATTGTAAACTTAACTGATTTGAATGAAGCCCGTAGGTCTTCACTATTTATATTTTTCTATATTTTGGCAAATTAAAATTAACAAATATTTTTAATTTGTCACTATACCATGCGTACATTAATGAAATGTATCGCCCCGTGAACTTCAAACTGAAATCATACTGTGAATGATGCCAATAGAACATAGACAGATAAAGATTCGAACATGACCAAATACAGTGGGGGGAAATAAATATTCGTACACTCGAAAAATCGTATTTTAATGTATGTAAGTACACAAACTTAACAGGAAAAGTGATTTAAATTATGTATAGAGACGCATAGTATCTAAAAATACTATCAAAAGAAATTAAATCTCAATGCAACAAAAAACAATGCAACATGTTCACTTTTCGGGTGAAAAAGTATTCGTACAAAACAATAAATCCCGCATTATTTTAATTTAATA